CGTCACATTTTTAGTGGTTACGTCACGTGTATAATGATTACGTCACATATCTAAATAAAGAACGTCAAACAGTGACTTTATAGCATAATAACACACACTTTCGGTTTTTCTATGTTCAATAGGGAAAAATACGGGTCGTGTTAGAATAATGCATAGTTAATGATGACTCTTGTGTGTTAAACTACAAAAACATTTTGATTTGTTAAATTGATAGATTAAATTCAATAAAAGCTATAATTAACATTTCAGCGATACATAGTTAACATATACTTCAATATGTTGAACTAGTGTCCAAACTGGGATTCAATTTATCAAGACATTTTATAAGTTAAATGAATGCATAGTTTGTAAAGAAACTACAAACTTTAAGTATTTTTTAATTCAATTTATAAGTTAAAATTACCATTTAAGCACTTCATAGTTAACATGCACCCCAATATGTTAAACTAGAATCTAAAACAGGGATTGTTTTATAAAAACATATTGATAAGGTGCATGATGCATAGATTGAAAATAGAAAAAAAAAATTATAATTAATGTATACATTATAATGAATTTTTAAACAACCCATACATAGTTTATTGAATAAGTGTAAGTTCAATACTGGATTTATTGCACGAGTTGAATAAAATTGTATTATGCGAGCCTCTGGCGAGAATTATATTAATTTTTTTAATGAGTGAAATAAATTCAGTAATGAACTTACACGAATTTAATATTCTATTTATCACATACCCAAAATAGAGACCGTTTAAAGTGAAATAAGAGTCATTTTTCATTGACGCGCCTATAGTATAACGCTAGCTAACATTTAACGCGTCTTTACACTATGTTAGCATAACGCTAATGACGTCACGTCAAAAATATATGCACGGCCGTGCCATACCATATTAACGGAGTCGCAAAATCGGTACGGGTGTGTGATAAATGTAGCTTACATACACCCCAATATGTTAAACTAGTATCTAAAACAGGGATCGTTTTATTTAAACATATTTATAAGGTTCATGATGCAAAAAGAGCGTATATTTACTTTCATTGATATATATAACAACTATATGTGTTAGGATTAACAAATATATATTTCATTTGTATTTTTAGGTGTTTGGAGCTCAACTCCTAAGTGTTTGTGACTTTAACGTTAAAAAAAAGATATAAATGATATCGGGCCCACCGCACTGCGTTGCAATCGAATCCACCACCGTCTGCGTTGTAATCAATTTTTGTCAATTCTTTTATTAAAATGGTAATATCAATTTCAAAAAGTTCCAAAATATGGTTGTTTTGTGTAATTATCATACATACGATGCGATGCCAGTGTATCTAGGGGTAGTTTTTAGTACATATGTAGTGTTATAAACAAAATTAGGCAAAAGTGGCGTCCCCTCGTCAAACTGTACAGAAGTGTTTGCATAACTGGTCATGATTTGCACCCCATGCGTGTAATAAGTTGGAAGAGTACATATGTGGGCTCCAGTCTCACTAGGTGTTATCAGTAGAACATAAAAACATAACGTACAAATAAGTCATAAACTTACCGACACCAGCAAAAATCTATCCGACAGCCATGTTTTTCCACCGCTTCTGCGACGAAATCTCCATCGCCGCACCGGTAGTCCCACCGCTTCTGCGAAAGCTATGGCCAGTGTGATTTATGACTTGTGGAAATTTCAGTACAGCGTACGGTATATTGTCTATGCCTGCGGCTGATTTAGATTTTGTAGCCATAACTACGGAAGAAATTTCTTCAATTGAGATATTGTGGTTTAACTGGGAGTTGGATGTGTAGAGAGGACCGGCTATGTCAAGTTCAATTAAATGTTTATGCATTTTAGTGCGATCATAATGACCTTGTTCAAATTCATCGCTATTACATCCATTATACAAGTTTGAGAAGTCCATTTTCCATCTTTCCAAAACACTTTTCTCATCACATATGATATTTCCATCCTGATCCCGTACTTGCATGGGTATCGTATTATTTTTTCTAGGACCAAAACTGTTTATTTTGTTCCAAAATTCGTTGGGATTAGACGTTGACATGTTTTCAATATCAGCAGCGAACGATTGTCTGTGTGCGCGTTCACACTGTCGTAGTAATTTATCAAACTGATTTCTAGCTGCGATATAATCTGCCCTTTTAGCTGTCTTTACTGACCTAGGTTCGTGGCATTTTAAGAACGCTCTCTCTTTACCACACATATTTTTCCATGATATACTCAAGTCCTCATTCCAATATGGTTTACAGTGTCTGTGGCGTCTTTTCGATCTATTTTTAGCTGTAACAGTAGGTATCATATTTTGCATTTCAGATATAATAGTGTGGCATAGTTTTGAATTAATATCATCGATTTCTGATTGCGATTTTCTGGATGACTGAATTGCAGTAATAATTTCATTTATCGCAATTCGAGATATTTCACTTTGCATAAAGTTATGGGGTATTTTGTCTAGCTTGTATTTAGGTTTCGATTGTCTTTCACGTTCACCTCCGTGTAAATCGTTAGAATTTAACCGCTTTGACTCACTTGTATAAAACGTGCTAAGTAGGACAGAGTGATCTGGAAGTCGCGCTCTTTGATCCAGATATCCGTGAAGGTCATTTTCATCTAGTATTGTTTGCATGGGGATTACTTCGAATGAGTTACAATATTGTCTGGTAATACCATGTATATGTCAAAAGTAGTCTCACTAAAATATTTTGTTTTAGTGATTGAAATCTCCTCCAGTTGGATTACAGTAGCGTCAATAAACTGTAATACATTTACCTTTGTAAATCAGCTTACTATCAGTCGAGTAAAATAGAAAAAAATAAGAATCCCTAGAGAAAGCCCAACACGGCAAAATTGAAAATGTTGCAGGCTCGGTTTGATTGAGCCTGTTCATGGACGGCACTGTCAAGTGCAAACTACCGTCCACGCCCCCTAGCACCGGCTTCAGCAGAATTCATCATTTAACATGAACTGGTATAATTTGAATTTTGAAACATCCGCAGATGTGTTCATACGGCGGTTATCATGGAACCTTCAATGTGACACGTAAGTGCCATTCAATGAAAAGCGGCATAAGATCCCCAGGTTAAAAAAATGCGTGTGCCCTGCAAATCTCAGATTTGTAAGTCAAAAGACGAATTTAAAAAGCAGGCCGCACATCCTAAGGTAGACTCAACAGTATTCAAGTGAGAAATACCGGAAACACCAAACTAGAAAATAGCCGAATAAAAAGAACTAAATTACCACAAGCACAACAATAATGTCGTGCCGAACGATCTTTAAGTAAACCGACTGTTTCTTAATGGACTGTTTATAAAGATAAATTCAAAATTTATCACAGATTGAAATTACATATTTATGGCAGCTTAGGCTTTCCATAGTTTTATTAAATCCGCGCAGTCTGATCAGGATCCATGCTGTTCGCTATCAGTTTCTCTACTTATAATAAAGTTGGTAAGCGAACAGCATGGATCCTGATCAGGCTGCGCGTAAGCGCAGGCTGGTCTGGATCCATGCTGGTCGCAAACCCACTATGATGGTTTTGTCGTGACGTGGCTCAATTATATTTTGTATATGACGTCAGACTGTAAAAAGGTACGTTATCTGAGCTTCAAGAGATTCCCATGGTCAATTAAGCACAGACTACACATATACATTATGATATTCACACTGCTAAGTTCATCATTTTATAAATTGTGTTTAAATGCACTTGTTTTTTGCAACTATTGCCCCGCCCTCAGGGAATAGCAGGGGCTTTTGACTTTAAGCGGTAAAGCCCACTTCCTGCGGGTGGCCATGGTCTGGTGGTAAAGTCCCCTGCCCTAAGTCTATGTCCTTGTCACGGTTACACTCCTATATCTTTTGCTGAAAGTTTAACGTTTAGCGTTGCCATATTAACGTGGGCGCTTACTTACGAGTTAAAAATCCTCGCAACCGGCTTGACATTGATCGTTGATGAACTGATGAGGATTCTGGTATATGTACAACCTTTAAAGACGCATAATGCCTCTATCTCTTCTATATAAGGGACAAACATGGCTTTGAAACGTTAAAAGTATATATGGGATGCTTACAACCGGAAGTAAGTGAATTTGAAGGATAAGTAGATCCCTACTCTGACCTTTTATTTGAACATGTTGAATAACAATTAATTTAACCACAAATTTTGACATGGGCTCTTTTGTTAAGAAATATGTTGTGGCGAAATTCTTGCTGTAATCCACTAATCCGATACTAGTAATTCAAATTAAAAGATTAGAGTCATGTAGGGACCTATGCATAGCGTTTAGGACTTTAATGGATTTTTAACTCATCATTCCACGCGTGTGGACCCTACCAAGCTTGAAACCTACCCAAATTACAGTGACGCATTTTGAACGAGTTTAATCATGGCAGTCATTTTTAACACGTTTATAATAAATAAGAATAAATTGTGTCCGATTAAGTAATAGAAAGAGCCATAGGAACTCGAGAACGGGACCGCAGATTGCGGCGCATATTTTCGATCGTGTAACGGTTTTTAAAAACGTTTCTGCTACGTCTAAATATCTTCTTTTAGTATTATCCGAGAATATGGCCTCAAAAAATATGTTATCAATTGAACCCAATCTGTCTCTTTTAAAACTGGTCAAATTTTACGGTATTATAAAAAAAGACAAGCTTTTCTTTTTTCAATATACCGTAAATTTGACTGATTTTCAAATTAGCAGATTAAATTAAATTGAGATTAGATAATTTAAGACCACACGCTCGCATAATATGAAAATATATTCAAAGGCCAGACAAACAATATGTAAAGCCGGTACGGATTCGGATTTATTGGCCGCAATATGCGGTCCTGTTCCAGAGTTCCTATGAGCAAGAGCATCGAAACACGAGGCTATCTGATTATAAAAAAAATTAAAAAATCCTATAAAACATCTGTGTTCGTTAGAAAGTTAGATGTACATCTAAAAATAAGACAATACATCGAGAATATCAAATTAAATATAAAAATATAATACGTACAAGCATTGCTGGTCGATGTAAGATAAATCCAAATCTAAAATATGTCCAAACATGGGGCAATCTTGTGATGAAAATGATTTACTGGATTTGCACGTTTTTTACGTGCCAATATTCTGAGAATGTGGCTAGCCATTCATTGAAACAAATGAGCGTAGCTCTTGGTTTTCAATAAGCACTCGTGGTGCACAAATTATTTTAAACGTCTGTTTTTCAAATAATGATAAAGGCGACTTGATTGGACAGCCAGATTGTAAACGTCTTCATATTTCATTTTTAGCATTTCCATCAAAACCGTCGCTTCCGGGACAAATTAAAGGTAAAATACAGCTATTCCCCTGAAAAAGCCGGGGTTTATTCTGACTTGTGGTATTGTTATAGCCAACAGAAGATTATGCTTTATAAAGCGGTGTGCACGTGTAATATATTATTCCATTTATTGATTTTACACTAATGATAAATACTTATTGTACGCCTACTTGAAACAGAAATCATTTAGGATTGGTATTCAGTCACTTATACAGGAAAGCCGGGCGGGTGAATCGGCCGCCGAGATATATGCTCAAAACTGTGGTAAGGTCGCCCCGTAATTTTAACAGTTGTCTACGCCTATGTAATTCTTCACAGACGAGCAAGTTTAAAATCTCGTGATTTTCGTGCGTTTTCTGATGTTTTCGTGTTCCATCAATACACACATCCTCTATTGTTTGTGACAGGTCTATATTTCTTGGATGTAAAAAAGTCAAGTCCATTATGAGGTCTATCTTTTTGCACGTGCACAGGTCTGTCTTAATTAGACAGACCCGCTCGAAAAAATAGACCTGCCAACGCGCAGACAAAGAAAACATAAAATGCAATCAAAAATTAAAAAATGAAATAAAATGTAAATGATTGTCATATAATGTTCCTGTCTTACAAAATCGGGATACATTTTTTAAACAAGATAATGTTTATTGAATGCACTAAGCAATTATTCCAGCATCCCTACATTAAATCTTTGAAAAAAATAATGGATAGCATATCAAATTCATTTACATTTATTTAATCGCGCCAATTTTTTAAAGTAATAGTAATCTAAGTGGTTCTTCTGTCATTAAGTTCACAATATATAAAAATATAGACGCTTCAAGTTCATATCAATTCAACTATATAGCAGAAATCACAGCATACGATTTTAAAATGTTAATAAAGTTATAAGTGATTTAGTATAAAAAAATTATGATAAAGGATCATACTTTATTTTAGAACACTTTATAATCTGCTATATAAAATATAGTTCCGGTTCATGTATCTCACACTTGCCAACAATATACATATGTAAGTCTTTCGTGGTCTGCTTGGTATCCGGACATTGCCCTTCGGACAGTTGCTCCCTCGGAAGTTTCCCTCCTTTTTGTAGTGGCGGTCATTTGTTCCCTCATACCTTTGGAAGGGGCGGGCATTTGCCTCCTCCCTGTTTTAAAAATGTTAAAATATTCCATTATTTCAATGTGCTTAAATACATAAAAACTGTAGCGCAAATGTGTGAAAATCAAAATAGCATTCATAAAATAAATGAACTAAAAATGTTTCCATTTCCATATAAAAAATCTATACACGAGATGAAAAGTGACAAGTCAGAACAGCAAAATAAGGGGACAAACGTCCGTGCGGGGGGAGGGGGTGGGGGTAGGGGGTGCAACTGTCTTAGGACAAATGGCATAGAATCTGCATTGTCTGCTACGAAATACTATCAACAAAATTATTCATTCTTTAACATATCTTCCATTACAGAACATTTCACTTTATTATTGACAAATTGCACATTTAGCTTTTTTGATTATTATTATTTTAAAGGGAAAAGCATAGTTAAATGCAAAATATATATTGTATTTAAGCAGAACGTTGATAAAAGCTTGCCTGATTATGCGTTGTGTTAAAAATAATCGTTGTACATTTCATCAAATGCTTCGAATCAGCCATTGCTCAAGCCAATATAGTTTTACGGTGTGTAAGTTGGATATCGGCCTCGTACATCGATCTTTACCTCGTACTCGGTCGATATCCTATACAAGTATACGGGGAGGGCGACGTTTTACGAATAAAACGGATTAAGCAACCTCCATCCACCCGAACCTACACCATCAGGTCGACGCAAGAACACGTTTTCGAGCTTGGCTGGTATATGTTCGAGTCTGTTTTATGCATTTATGAGTCACATGCTGTTCAATGTGACATTTTGTAGGGTTTATGATCTTTTTTATGAATAGATTATATACTACCATTTACTAATTTGGTTTTCTTTTTGGTGTCATTGCGCCTGCAACTTTTGATAGAATAGCATAAATGTTCTACATACATTTTCATAATACAAGTATCGAAGTAAATGTTCCAATCTGCCAGTGTGATTGCTGGGTGGGCATAAAATTCCTGCCGCTAGCGTGGATGCTGAGTGGGGGCCAATGAACAGGTTCGGTCAACCCGAAATTACAACGATGCTTTGCAGTGCTTTGCGACTTCCCTACCATACACTTTTGGTATATAGATCATTAGGCATACTAAATGTATCGACTCTTGAATAAGACGTATTTTTACCTTTCGACATTGCACGCCACCGTTTAATGATAAAATAACAAGGTAGTCAGATAGTTTTATGCTTTATTAGTAATAAGCTATTGTACTAAATGATACTGGACCTTATTTTTGATACTGAAGTTAATTCTTTTGCAACATTACAATATAAATGATGGCAGAACAAAATGTAGATAGTTATGAAAATAAATCACTCAAAGATGGTCGAAACACGAGGCTATGTGATTTGTATGAGATGGTTGAAACACGAGGCTATGTGATCTGTATGATGTGTCGAAACACGAGGCTATGTGATTTGTATGAGATGGTCGAAACACGAGGCTATGTGATTTGTATGAGGGGGGGGGGGGGGGCGTCGCCCTCGATTATAAATTAGATTGCCGAATGTTTTGATGATCTTTTCTCTTTTGCATCATAGGCAAAATAAAAAACTTTCCCTGTCCTCACAATAAACAGTTGCGGCAGCTAGAGTTGCGGGTAAACCAGCTAGCAGTGTGGGTAACCAGCTAGAGTGCGGGTAACCAGCTAGAGTGCGGGTAACTTATATCTGCACTCCAGTTAACGCATTGTGCATTTATGGGTATACGATTAAACTCTGACATATTTTCAATAGAAGCATCTCCAAACTATGATACAATATAGTGTTCATGACTTTTTCAACTGCTGTCAGTTGTTTAAGATGCAGAAAATGATTATAAAATGTAAATTTAACAACCACTCTAGTCCTATTATAATCTAAGGAACGACACTGGATTGTGTTATTCTTGACTTACCATTACAAAACAGAAAACAAAATCATTTATTACCATTTTTATAAGCAAAAAAAAACAGAAAAAATAAACCAGTGATATAAACATACAGCTGTGAAATGTAAGCAGAAACATGGCAAATAATACTGCTTGCTGATTTATTTGTATGCTATTCTAATATAATTATATATATTATTGTCTTATGAACAGACGACACCGACAAATTCATTCGGGCTACAGTTATGTACACCAATCCCATTGTGGGCGCAGTCTACAAGAGACACTTCCGTTCCATCGCAGGCGACATCATCTATAAGAAACGACAAAGAACCATCACCAAACGCTGAATCCATTACTGATTCCCCCCTTCTGTCTCACCGGAAATAGAAAATGATAGACATGTAGATATGTTTAATAAATGTCAAATCATGTTTGTTTAGATTAATGTTTAACTTTTTTTAAATTGTTAGTCTTATTAAAGCATACAGGTCAAGACATCAGCTTTGCATGCAAAGTTAATCGGTTTCAGTCATTTCTAACCTTGTTCATTAAGTTTTAAGTTGTTCTCAGAAATTGTCAAAACTTTTCTCTTCAAACTTTATTTAAATGTTTCTGTTTGTTTGTTTGATTGATTGTTTTTTTTTCTTTAACAAATTCTTAAATCATGATGATTTTTAGGTTATAAATTTGAATGAAAACAAAATAAAACTAAATCATAAAATGAATTGAAATTATAAAGTCGAAGGTTAAATATGAATATGCTGGTAATAGGATATACAATATATTGATAAAGTGTTCTTATTTAGGACGAGTAATCAATGATATTGAATCTGTGACTTAATGCCGGCTATTTATGGACCATCCCTCGCACTGATATGAAACTCGAGTTTTTTTTATTGTTTTTGATATTATATAACGTTTCTATAATTATACTCACACAAATCCTAATGTTGTACATACAACGTTAGCATTCACATCTCCATTTAAATAAGATTGCCATTGATCGTCGCAAATACCCCACCATTGTCCATCGTAGAAAACTTCGATTCGCCCCTTATTACTGCTAACTTCCCCATATCCTGAGCCATTGCACAATCTCATGTTGTTTACTGGTTCTGTGCATATACTTTTTATCACCTGCAAACATAGAAACTAAATCTATTGATATTTGATCATTATTTATATATAAATTAGTATGATAGCGGAAAACAAAAATGGATGGGGCATCCGATTCTTCAGAAATGAAGGGACATTCGAATCCTCCTCTGAATAAACAACACGGAGAGGAATTCGGAACCTCCTTTACTAAATTAAAACCCTTAAGGTACAAATGAAATAGCGAACTACAATGTACAATCAAAACAAAAGGGAAGGCCCCTGAAAATTTTTTTGGGTCTCAGAAATTTAAAAAAAGGGGAAGGTTTTTTAGATTATACAACAATTTGTTTTTGTATAGTGCCACCAATGCTTTCCAGCGTTTTAATTGTAGTAGATTGGCTTTATAAGACTAATTGCTACACTGATATTCGATCAAACGTTTATTTGACTTAAACAATTTGAACCACGGTGACTTTATATAAGAATGGCCTGAAGAAAACCATATTATTCTATTTAGGGTTTGTAACGACGCTAACTGTTTTTTTTAACACTTGTGTAAATAATCATGGCGCTTACTGTAAGCATGTATATTTTAAAGAATTAAAAACAATATTAGAAATCTTCACCATTTCGGGAATTATTTTGCCCTTGAAAATTAATCCGGCTGTCATATGACCCTAATTTACGCAGTGATCTCCCCTAAATTTTTC